TGTGTCCTGTGACTGTGCCTCACCTCAAGGCAGGTCATTGGTATTGACACCACTTGACAGGTCTCTGTGCTGGTTTCCTTATCTGAAAATGTGGGACAGTGACCCTCCTGGAGGTAAACAACTCAGTGAAGGTCAGCCTGGGTGCATGGGAGGGCGTGGTAGGCGCTACTGGGGCTACAGGAGAGCTCTCATGTCAGGGTAAAGTCAGGGACTTAGCTGGTCTCTGTTGATCATCTGACTTGACAGAGCTCAGAAGGGGTCCTGTGTTTTCCTTTGTGGGTATTGAGAACTATTTGAAGGCATGTCTTTGAGTCCCACATGCTGGAGATGTTTTGGTCAGTCAGGCTACCCTGCTTTCCTTGTTTACACAGACAATCTGCAGAATGGCGTCCATGGTGCCCAGGAACACATTCACGAGCCTGCTGCTGCCTCGATTCTGTGAGCTGTGTGCCGACAACAAACTCTTCCAAGTTCGGAAGGTGGGAACATAAGAGACCAGTATCTCTGTTTAAGTTGAAAACTCCCAGTCTGTCCCTCTAGTGTTTCTGTGTACTTATTTAGTAAACACTCTGGGAGGGTTCCACTGCTGGCTGGGGAGCAATATACAGACACTCAGGGTCTTTGGTTTCTTGAAATGATTTGATTTGTTCCAGAATCCTCTTGTCTTCGCTGTACCTTCCACCCCATCCCTGGTTTCCCTTTGGGTTGCTCAAGGTTTGGCTGTCCCAGCCCTGCTTAGAGGTGTTGATGCCCCGGCCTCCACCCTGTAATATGAGTGGTCACAGCTCTGGTCTCATCCACTGTATAGGAAGCAAACAGGCTCTGCCTTATCAGTGCCAAATGCATTATGTATTAAGACCAATTAGGAGCCGGGAAGCCAAAGAAGTAGGCACCCTCCTGTAAACCCCTGTTTTCAGTGAAGCCAAAGAAGTGGGCACCCTCCTGTACACTCCTGTTTTCAATGCAGCAGGCACCTAGCGTGGTGCTGTGTGGGCGATGGGCCCTGTACAGTCTTGTTAGCTGTCTGACTGGAGGGATAATTGCTCTCAGGGTTCCTGCTTGTTAGGATTTACAATCTGTTAAGACAAAAAGAAAGACAAAGAAATGATGCAAATGCCTTTGGCTTTCACAGGTATGCGCCACGCATTTTGGCGATATTTGTCATGCTGTTAGACAAGAAGCCACTGAGAAATTTCTGGTATGTGAAAATTTGCCAATCATAATTGCTACCACACTTCTTGGTGTACTTTGCAAGTCTGGTTGGCAAGTGCGTGGGTGCGAAAGCCTGGACCCCGCGCTGTGCCCTGTGTCGTTCCTGCTGTTCCCACTCCTGCCACACTCTCCTGTGTCCTTTCTGTCTGCACTCTCTCTGCTGCCTCCCCACTAGCCCCTCTGGAGCTGTCCTTGCCCTGGAGCCTGTTGAAATCCAGAGCCATGTCACCATTCGGGTCCCTTCACAAGTATCTCTTCTTCCATACCTGCAGTCACCCCACATCTGCCCCCCTGGGCTGGTCCAGCTGGGTTCAGCTCTGGCCAAACACCTGTCTTTGCAAAGTTCCTGTGACTGATGTGGCCAATGGAACACCACATCCACAGCCCCCTGCCCCCCTCCCCCAGCATGATTTTCACTCCTTTGAGGCAGTGCATCCTCAAACCCATCCCGCCTGCGCCTGCATTGAGAGCCTCACTTGCTGCTAGCTCGGCTGGAGCTCTCTCTGGCCTTCTTGCATGGCAGACTCAGCTGCCCACACCTTGTAGAAGGTTTCTTTTTTCAACCCCCTGTAGCCTTTTGTTTATAAGACCTTGCTAGGATTTCACAGGTACCTTGAGGTTCACCTGTGCCTGGACAGCTGCTGGACACTCCTGCGCCTTTCTCTCCATTTAATGCTCTAGCTGTGTGGTTGGAACGTAATCTCAGAGAGAGGATCATTTCTAAATTGATTTTTAAACTTCAGTTCAGAAGCATGTTTTGTTTTATTTAAAGTGTAAGCCACATCAACACCATTGTAACCCAAGACAATTTACCCTGGGCTGCTTCTCTGAAGACACCAGAACATTAGCATCTCATTGATGTCTCTGGTGAAGGTGGCAGTGGCCACAGAGCCATCTTCCTGTAGGTGGCTGGTCCCTCTGTCAATCGTGCTCCCATCTGTGTAACGTTTTAAGCTAAGTGTTTTACATTAGGATATTAAAATCAAAGCCCTGTAAAAGATAAAATTTTAAAGGTATAATGGCCACCTTCATGTAGACATAAATATGTAAAAAATTATATTTAACTCATTTGCTAATAAAGCAAACCAGAAAAATATAACAGCCAAGCTCAGTGGAGAGCCCCACAGTACACATTCACAGTCTAAGCACGAACCCAAGTGACTTACAGAGGAATACACACAGGTCATCTGCCTTCCTCTGGACATAGTTTGCATGTCCGCAGACAGAAGTATTACTTGTATTCTAACATTCTGTGTCGTCCAGAGTAGCCTCAAATTTGCAATCCTTCCATCTCAGCCTTCTGAGTGCTGGGATTACAGGTGTGAGTCCCATGTCCGCTCTCAGTCACCAGCCCACTCTCAACCACCACGAACTGACAATTCCTTGTCAAAGACAGTGCTTGTGGCTGGCCGAGCCTGCCATTCACTGAGTTTCTGACTTTTGAGCTATATCCAGTTTTGCTGAGGAGGGAGAATTGGCCCTTCTCTTTGTTGTTTTTTTCATTATCTTCTTAAATTTAACCAAATCACTTGTTAAAGTTCGGTGGTAAAAGAGCTATGCTTTCTTTCCCTACTCAGTGTCTCTTTTATGCGATGCCTTTGGAGACTGTATCTTGCAGATCATTTTTTATTGCTGTTTTGTGTGTCCCTGTGGCTCTGCCACTATAGGCTATTGGGGCAGGTGCTGACTGCCCACAGGACACTCCAGTTTGAGTAGCTACACTTGTCATGTGTCTGTTTTGGTAGATACCAACGTTTTTTGAGCTCTGCTCGGATAACATGTGGGGGATGCGGAAAGCATGTGCAGAGTGCTTCATGGCCGTGTCCTACAATACCTCCCCTGAGGTCCGCAGGGCCCAGCTCTCGCCTCTCTTCATCAAACTCATCAGTGATCCCTGCCGATGGGTGAGTGCTCACACAGCTGGCAGCCTTGGTGCTGTCAGTCTCTCCAGCTGTCTCCAACTTCCACCTTGGTTTCTGGCTTATATGTATTTTTTTCCCTTTCAGTCACTGGTGGGTGTAGGTAGAGCTAGAGATCAGGATTAGGGCAACTAAGATCTCAAAGCTTTGGGGGTAAACACTGCGAAAGAGGCACACTGTTCACCACTTGGGGAAAGTGCACAGAGCAGAAGACCCTTCTTCCTACTGTGTGTGCCACAGGCAGTCAGACAGACAGACTTCCTACAGAATTCATGAAGTCTATTGCCATGGGGAGTTCACAGTCTAGAAACATGAAGACGACATTGTGGAGCCAGATGTACCTATTTTCTGTTGAGAATGGCTTACTTGGCTTTTAGGGGATGGTTGGGAAGCAGCAAACCTGAGATCAGCCATCTCTGTCCCTGCCTGGTGTCAGGTCTGGTCCCCGCTGCAGGTCGACACTGTGTGCTCTGGTTCCAGGTGCGCCAGGCTGCCTTTCAGTCCCTCGGCCCCTTTATCTCCACATTTGCAAACCCATCCCGGGCTGGTCTGTACATTCGAGAGGATGGCACCCTGAGCATCAGGCCTCCGAGCCAAGAGGTGGAATCTGACTTTGCCTCTGGACCACCCAGCACTCACAGTGCCTCCTCCTTAGCCGGGTAAGCTCCAGCCAGGATGCTTGGCACAGCCCACCCCCCCTTTCACCTCAAGCATCCACCTAGAATTCTAGCAATTATCTCATCTCCAGGTTTAGTAATAGTGACCTTCTGGGCAAGATGGAATATTAGAGCTTTAATTATGTAAAGAAGCAAAAAGTAATTGCAATAACGATTTCGAAACATGACTGCCGGGTTATAAATAATGAAGCTACCATGTCTCCTCAGTTTAGATAAAATATTCATTGAGGGTGGTGATTAAATAACCTGTAAAGAAAATTGTCTCTTTCTCCTTGATTAATGAAGTTCTTTGGAGAATTTACACAGGGAAAAAAGGTGAAGTCTCCCAGATGTACATTTGTGACACGGGACATTCTGTGTATACAAAGGCCCCATCCCTGCGTGCTGTGTTGACCCTCAGTGTCTTTCTAGTGTGGTGGCCAATCTTGGGCTTATCATATTTGTCCTCTGAGGATGGTGGGTATGTACTGACCAATCTAAGCATCCCTTTGCCAGGAGTGCTATGTAGGAGTGTGAGGTAGGACTGTGTGGGCAGTTGACACCTTTTCATACAGCTCCTCCTCATCCCTCCATCCCGCCTCCATCAGTGCTCACTGGCTTCTGCAGTGCCATTCCCCAGGACCAGGTCTTCCTCATCAAGGCTTTCCATGAGGCTAGCACATAGTCAGTGCTTTCTGGTTCCTGAGCCTTTGTTCCAAAGCCTGCCCCCTGCTGGGGCACTGATAAATATGCGGTGGAGGCTGGCTGAACTTCCTAGGGGTATTTTCAGTGCACACCATTCTCCCAGGGGGCAGAGTGGTCCTGAGTGCAGGGATGAGGTTGCAGGCTTCTGATACAACGTGGCAGGGGTGTAGTCAGAAAAGAGTCTTAGGGGGATGTAGGCTTCTACCTCTGATTTCTTCCCATCTGCTCCATGGTGATGAGAGCCTGCTTCTCTCTCCCGTTACTCTAGTTCTAAAACACCTGTGCACATGGAGCCAGATCTGCTTCCAGAATGTGCCTCAGTCGAGACCAGTCATCTGCATGACAGCAGCTCTTCCTCACACACAACAGAAAACCGGTCCGGGAGCCCTTCATCAGCCAGAGCTGAAATGACTGTGATATCTGCAGGCAACAGCTCCTGCCCAGAGCTCCCAGGTGTCAGTGGCTGCCCCAGCGACAGTCACCCTGAAGCAGGCCCAGGGACTCCCGAGGCCATGTTCAGCACTTACCTGTATTGGCGAGCTCCTCTGCCTGACATAAGTGAGGATGTGGAGGTCCTTCTGAGTGAGGCTAGACCCCTGGAAGAAAACCACAGCGGACCTGAGGCCTCTTGTGACAGCTGTGTGGCCAGGAGCGAGATCCAGAAAGTCCTGCAGAGTCTACAGGGACATCTGCTGCAGGACCCAGACATTCAAGGTGAAGGCACAGGACTGCCTCCTTCTCCTCAGGCCCCTCTGTTGCAATGTGTGTCTGTTTAGTCACACTGTCCCCACCTGGGGGTTGTGTCTAGTCCAGTCTGGTATCTCCACGCGGGACCTGTGTGAGGAGGGTTTCCAGACAGTGTGTGCACAGCCTGGAGTGAGCCCTTACAAAACAGGGGACAGTGCTTGGGCACATCTGTGGTGACAGAAGGTTTATTAGCCCCAGGGACAGTGACAGTATTTCCCACATTATGTGCCCTCTCTGGCTACAAACAGCTCAGAGTGGACCTCCTTTTAGAACCCATTAACTTCGGCCTTCACTAAGCCCTAAGGTTCTGTCTTACACAGCCTGGGAAAGTAGGAGTCTTTTGAGGGGTTTTTTATGTCATGACTAATGTTCCCACCAGGCGTGGGGTCTGGGAGCCAGTCTCCTAATCCATACCCATTGTCGTGCACACAGCAGCCAGTCCTCAGCCAATCAACAGGGCTCCACTTGTGTTTATCCTGAGTCAGAGAAACTGCAAAAGCTGCTGTTGCTGGGCAAAGATTTGTGATGCTTTGGAGGAAAAGAAATGTGAAGGTTCAGTTTGCCCCATGGTTAGTCTTTGTTCCTGAGTCTGTGAGTAAAGGGACCCAGTGATTGCTCAAGGGACAAACAAGCATTGCCCTCCTGACTGCTGCACACAGGCTGGCATGGAAAAGCACATCCCTGATCCCCAGTAAGAAGAGCCTGTGTGGTGGGAGCAGTGACCCCTGAAGTCTGCTGGAGAGCATGAGCATAGGATCCACACTAAAATATTAAAATCTTTTCACAAAAATATTTTGAGGCAGGGTCTCACATAGCCCAAGCTAGTCTGGTCCTTGCTTTGTAACAAGGATGACTTCGAACTTCTGGTCATTTTGCTGCCATCTCCCATGTGTTGGGATTACAGGTATGCACTGTCACAGCCAGCCTTGTGGGGTACAGGGCATGGAAAACAGGGTTTTGTGAATGCTAGGTAAACACTCTACCAACTGAACCACATTCCCAGAGCATAACGTTATTAAAATTCTCTGTATCTCTCTTCCTGTAGCTCAGGTTCAGGTATTATCTGCTGCACTGAGAGCAACACAGCTCGGCTCCACTAGTGAACCCGAGAGCAAGCAGACAGAAGGTCTAAATGCAGAGTCCGTTTCAGATCCCAGCCCTGCCTCTGACAATCACATCCTCCTGTCGGCTTCATCATCTCAGAATGAGCTCTCCGTAGCCAGGATATTACAGAGCACAGTAAGTACTTGCCCTGTCCCTCAGCCACCGAGGGTGTGACAGAAATCACAAAGCCACGCTTGCTTTTATTAATACACCCCTGCAGAGAAGATAAATGGCAAATTTCATTTCATTCTTAAGGTCATGTTTTGGATAACTAGACAACCAATCAATCAGGTGATTGATCACTCTGAATCCTTCCTTGGGAACAGGGTGGGCACCAGAAACAACCCCCCCCCCCGGGGGTGTGTGTGTGACAGGCAGTGCTCTTGGGGGATTAACGGTGTAAATGTCCTGGGTCATTGCTGGCAGTCACTTACATCTTTAATAGCAGAAGAGGGTGAATTCTAACTTGGCAAAGGCTGCAGAGAGTGATGAGTGTGGCTGACCCCTTGGTTCACAGACACCCTTTAACACCCACCTCCTTGGTGATGGTCCTTTCCTGAGGGTGACTTGGAAAGCATTCTTCAGTCTGGAATCTGCTTTTTGTGGACCAGGGTCCCAAGTAAAACCAGGATCTGGACTTGTGCTTGCCCGGCTCTGTGGGAGCTTCCTAACCCTCTTGATATTGGGCATTCCTGTGCCTTCCTAGCTCCTCCCCAACTTGCACTTGGACCAGTTTAAACTGGGGTCTCTCCTCACCCAGGTCTTGAGTAAGTTGCCGCCTTTTCAGTTCTGTGAACCAGCATGAGCAGACTCTGCAAGTTCATGGTGTTCAGGACCCAAGTCACGCTCCTCTGTTGTCATAGCTGAAACTTTAGCTGTAGTTATTAATTTATCACCCCATTCTAAGCCCATTCAGATGAAGCTCCTGGCACAATCTAAATCTAAGTGTTTCAGACTTGCTAAAGGTACCGTTGGGTTAGTAAGAAATGATGTCTTGTTTCTAGAAAATGCTGAGAAAAGTGGCCTTTTACCTTTGGGTTACCTGCCTGTAGAAACCAACACTGAACATAGAAGAGAGAGGTCTAGTGGGTTTTCCCTGGTGGGGTATGGTAGTACTGGGGCTTCTTTATCAGAGGCAGAAGTGGAAAAAGAATAGCAAGCCCCTCCAGCCTGGTCTTCGTGCGAAAGGCTGGTGGATCTCAGCTTGACCCTGGAGTCAGATGAGATCATCCGGAGGCCTCAGTTGCAAATCAGACAAAAAGAAAGACACTGAAAACACAGTGGGGGTGGGGGGGTGAGTACCCCTGTCCCACAGTGTTCAGGAGAGGCAGAGTAGCCCCTATCTCTATGCTGCCTGCTCTGTGTCAGCTTAGGGTGCTCATCAGAAGGAGGCCTGTGCAAGGAAACCCTATCCCAGAAGTCCCCCTGACTAGGCTCTCACTGTGTCTCTTCTTGACCACAGCTGTGGAGGGCAGGGGGTACAGATGGCCAAGCAGTTGGAAACATGACCCCTGAAGAGCTGGGGTTCTCTAGACAGGCTCTCATCAGTGACTTCACTCGAGACTCGGACAGGATTCCTTCCTAAAAGTGCTGAATTTGATTCCAGCCGTGTTGTGTTAGTGCGTGTTGATGCACTGGAGAATGGGAGACAGCATGCCCAAATGAGACCTTGAGTGTCCTACCAAAATGTTACTGTCATGTTTCCTGTTCAGATAGACAGCATGTTTCCCTGTAAACATTGGGCCCTAAGGTCCTGGTAGCATGCTCAGAGCAAACACGGCATCTATTGGGGTATTAATTGACTCCTGAATCATATATTGAGCTGATTTGTCAGAATCCATTAACACAGTAGACAGTATGACATTTCAAGTGCAAGTTGGAAAACCGTGTTATGGTTGAGGGAGAAGGTCAGGTCCATCTTGGTTCATGTTAATCAATGATCAGAGACTGATATGTCACCATTGAATGTTCTTGCTCATTTTAATTGTTAACCTAATGTAAAGGTTCATCAGCAAACATGAGGAGTGTTTGCACACGTGGGAACTCAGAGCAGTTTACTTAGTAAATAGTCCCCTGCTGGCCCCCTCTCCTCTCTCTAGGTCATTGCTCCCCCACTGCCATGTCTGCCACCTGCACTGAAGCCTGCTTCCCAGCAAAGAAAACCCAGCCCCAGCCCCACCCCTGCTTCTGTAGCTGTATTGAAGGCTGTTGGTTGTCCTCACAAAGGAGACCCAGGCCTTAAAGGAGTAGTGGGTGCCAGCCCATGCTGTTGGGCCTCACCAGCTTTGACAGTAAGCGTGACCTTCTATAAGGCAGTCTTGAAGCTGGTGTGTGAGGTCCCTTCTACAGAGCCCTGGTGGCAACTGGACCGCAGCAGACCCTGCAGCAATGCAATAGTGGGATCCGATGTCAGGAGAGATGCCGTGCACCTCAGGAGATGCACTTGTCATTTCCAACATGAAGGAAGGGTCCTTGCATGGGGGTGAATGAAGACACTGTTCTCCTTTGGTGTCAGTTGGTAACATGTCCCATCAACTCTACAGGATCAAACTGAGCCTCAAAATAGAGCCAGTGGGCATCTGGGGACGGAGCAGGGGCAGGAACCTACCACGCTTGAGGAGAATGAATCCAAAGCCAGTGGGCACCTGGAGTCGGAGCAGAGGCAAGAAGGGACCGCGCTTGAGAATAGGGCCAAAGTACAGGTTGGTTTGTTCCTTGAAACAAAAGGAAAGAAAAAAATCAAAACAAGCCTCTCATCGTCCTTAAAGTTCAGTGTTGGAGCAGCTGCCAAAGCCAAGTGTTTTCCTTCTGTCAGTATTAATGTTGTAGTAGTTCATTACATTGCTAATATTTTCTCTCTAAAAATAATTATGAAGTATCGTTCAAAGTCTATTAATAAAGCTCAACAAAAGGGAAATGACTTCACACTAGCATTTTAGGACAATGACTTTGTTTTGGTAAAAACAATCCTGTAAGCTTCTTCTTTGGTTGGGCTGTGCTTGCACACATGTGTCTTTTGGATTGGCCCCTTGTGCCATTCAAAGTCCCTTGAATATTTGAAGTCATCGGCACACATTTTTCTTCCAGAGGCAGGCATAAACAGGTAATGTGTTTGTAGCGAGGGAGGCCTCCCTTCAGTTGGAAAGAGTAAGCAATAATCCCAAGGGGAGCCTTGGACCCAGCTCCCTGGGCTGCTGTAGAGCACAGTCTCCACACTAGGCAGCTGTGCCATGCCCCCTGCTCTCCATCCTCTTCTCTGTAGCCTAGGGACCCACGTTGAGGCAGCTGACTGTAGACACTGATTTCCCTCTTGCTGTTCTTGCCTGCTGCACTGTTGTCAGCCCAGGCTGTGAAAGCCTGCCCTCCTTGCCAGTGCGATGACTCCCTTTCTCTCGTTCCCCAGGACGTAATCCCTCAGCCTCTGCTTGACCAGTTCGTGTCCATGACTGACCCAGCTAGAGCCCAGACTGTGGACATGGACATCGCCAAACACTGTGCCTACAGCCTCCCCGGGGTGGCCCTGACGCTGGGCCGGCAGAACTGGCACTGCTTGAAGGACACATTCGAGACCCTGGCTTCTGACGGTCAGGTAAAGGGTCATGTTCAAAGGCGCAGACAGGAAGAGAGCAGCATCCGGGCAGGAGGCCCTGGGGGCTGCGGCACAGCTTGTCGACCTGACTTTCATGTGGCTGTGAGAGCGGCTTGCTTACTGCTCTCTGGGGAAATGCTAGAAACATTGAATTACACTTGCTTATGGTGATTCGTGTGTCTGCTGTCACCCCTAGTGGAAGGTCCGACGGACCCTCGCCTTTTCCATTCATGAGCTGGCAGTGATTCTCGGGGATCAGTTGACGGCAGCTGACCTGGTACCCATCTTCAACGGGTTTTTAAAGGATCTGGATGAAGTGCGTGTAGGGGTCCTTAAACACCTCTATGACTTCCTAAAGGTAGGAGAGCTGAAATCACGAAAGCCTTCCCACCGGCTAGGGCAGCGCCTGGACTGGCTTGGTGCAGTGAAAGACAGCCACACGCTTCCAAGCTGCAGTTGATATGCATCCAGAATCTAAAAACGGACATCCGTGTGTCTGCTGCTGCTTGGACCCCAAAGGGCTATGCTTCTTGTGAAGGGTGGTGGACAGCAAAGTCTAAGGTCCCCAGGAGTGACCTGGCTTACCCAAAAGTCACCTGCAGAAAGACTGGGCCCAGATGAGAGCCCAGCTCTGCACACAGGAGCACCTTGTCTGCAAGATGCTGGAGTCACTTCTGCTGCTGCCTTTCCCTTCCTCTTAAAGGAGTGATGAGCATAAAAATAAGAGCTTAGAAATAACTTAGAGAAATTTAATTTGTCACTGACCCCATTCACGCCCTGCCTTTCATTGCTGATACGGGGTTTCAGCCCCAAGGCAGCAGAGCCATTATCCACTGAACACAGAGACACCCTCTGGGGTGGGAAAGCACAAGGGATTCAGGGACATGGGGTGGGTGGGGAAGGGTGGGTGGTGTACCCACCACCAGAGGAAAATCAGGAGCTGTCCAGAGTGCACTTCCCTTGGGGTCAGCCAGCAGTCATGTTAACATATAGCCTCGTAGAGTCCTGGGTGGCTGAGTATGAGGGAGACACATAGGCTTATGGCCGGTGACAAACTTATGGCCTTATAACAGAGAGATAAAGGGATAAAGGGGGTGCTGGGTTCACCTTGAGGCTGACATGTCATTTATAGAGCTGTATTTTTAACAGTTGCTCCACAAGGACAAGAGGAGAGCGCACCTCCGCCAGCTGCAGGAGTTTGTAGTGACTGACAACAGCAGGAACTGGAGGTTTCGATATGAACTAGCAGAGTGAGTACACCTCTGCCTGGGGCCCTTCTGGGCCAGCCAGCTGTGAAGGGGGTGCCCTTCCCTCCTCGTCACCATCACCGACACCAGAAGCACCAGAAGCAGGAACACAGAGCTCTTTGGGGGAGAGAGAGTAGGTTTCTGTTAAGGTATAAGTGGAATTCCATAGCTCTGAGTTATATACGTCCCCTGTCTCTGGGGAGACATCCATTTTCTCATGAAGACAGGGCTAGGGTCACGCTGGAATTGGAGTGTTCTGCTGTTCTATACGGCAATTTGTTCAAACCAAATAGAAGATGAATCACCCACTCTTCAATGTTTTCCTGTGAATTAGAGTGGTTTTGCAAAGCCTTCCTGAACATTCTGCGTACTGTAGGACACATGGTGCCTCGTGTACTTGAACTGCCAAAGCACCCTGGGCAGCAGCACTGAGGTCTGAAAAGATCTCCTCCTCCGGGTGAGATAGCTATTCAGTAAAAACACCCGTGAGGGCAACCTGCATGCACCATGCCTGTGTGAAGCACTCTTCAGTCCCTATCTGCTGTCTGCACAGGGAATGTTCTAGGCTTTACCCCTAATGAACAAGAGTGTAGTTCAGTGCCCCCTTCTCCAGGTGGAGAATGTCCTTTAGTGATGTGAGGGATTTGCCTGTGAGGTGCTTGTTTGAGCTTTTGTTGAGGTCCATTTCTGTATCTTTAGTTTTCATTTTTATTATCTGATACAACTAGTCATCTCCCAAATCATTGTCTTCCTGAAGAAATCCATCAGACTTTTGCAGCTATTCAGGATATGATTTGGCTGGTGCCAGGGGCAAACTGGAAGATTTTTCTCTTTGCGGTGAGCTTTAATCATTATGCTTAATTTGAGAGATTGAGGTCTAAGTCATTATGTCATGTTCTCAGCACACTGGGGCAAAGAGAATTGAGAAAAACAGACCCCGGCCCAGCAGGGCAGCCGTACTCCCCCTGGCGGCTGGAGCACAGTGAGCCCCCCGCGGCCCGGCCCGGCCCGGCCCTATCTCCCATCGCTCCGCTTATTGCAGTGGCGGCGGGCCGCGATAAGGGCTGAGCGGGGAGCGATATTGGCCTCATTTTCCCCGCAGACGGCGGGAGCGATATGAAGCCGCTCGCCGCGGCCGGCTTCCTCCCCACCCTTTTTCATTTCCTCTGCCCGCGTGCAAATCACACCCCTCTGCCGCCCGAGCCCAGCCGGCGAGCGAGACAGAAAGAGCGAGGAAAAATGACCTATCAAAACAAACAAACAAACAAACAAAAAAACCCGAGGAGGGGAAACAAAAAACCTAGTGATAAAGAATGAGGGAGAAAGACCTATGGAAAAGGAGCGAGTGAAAAAAAACCTGGCGGGGAAAAAAACCTAGCGATAAAAGAGCGAGGGAGAAAGACCTAGCCAGAAGTAACGCGGAAAAGAGACCCAGGGAGAAAAGAGCGAAGGAGAGAGAGAAAAAAAAAAAAAGAGAGAGAGAGAGAGAGAGAGAGAGAGAGAGAGAGAGAGAGAGAGAGAAAGAGAGGGAAAGAGAGAGGCTGAGACACACAGAGAGGGAGAACGAGACAGAGATCAAGACAGAAGAGGAGACTGAGAGAGAGAGATATTGCGTTCATGGTTATTGTGCCTAAATTTGTATGTTCATCACATGCAGTGCTTGCAGTCGCAAGAAGAGGGCATCATCTCCTTTGTAACTGTAGCTACCCTGAAGCAAGGAAAAGAAATTCCTAGCGAGAAAGAGCATGGGAAAAAATACCTAGCAAGGAAGCGCGGGCAAAAGACCCAGAAAGAGCGCGGGGGAAAAAAAAATACCTAGCGAGAAAGAGCTCGGGAAAAAAATACCTAGCGAGAAAGAGCTCGGAAAAAAAAATACCTAGCAAGAAAGAGCGCGGAAAAAAATACCTAGCGAGAAAGAGCGCGGAAAAAAATACCTAGCAAGAAAGAGCTCGGAAAAAAAAATACCTAGCAAGAAAGAGCTCGGAAAAAAAAAATACCTAGCGAGAAAGAGCTCGGGGGAAAAAAAATGCCTAGCGAGACAGAGCTCGGAAAAAAATATCTAGCAAGAAAGAGCGCGGAAAAAAATACCTAGCGAGAAAGAGCGCGGAAAAAAATACCTAGCGAGAAAGAGCGCGGAAAAAAATACCTAGCGAGAAAGAGCGCGGAAAAAAATACCTAGCGAGAAAGAGCGCGGAAAAAAATACCTAGCGAGAAAGAGCGCGGAAAAAAATACCTAGCGAGAAAGAGCGCGGAAAAAAATACCTAGCGAGAAAGAGCGCGGAAAAAAATACCTAGCGAGAAAGAGCGCGGAAAAAAATACCTAGCGAGAAAGAGCGCGGAAAAAAATACCTAGCGAGAAAGAGCTCGGGAAAAAAAAATACCTAGCGAGAAAGAGCTCGGGAAAAAAAAAAATACCTAGCGAGAAAGAGCTCGGGCGAAAGACCTAGCGAGAAAGAGCTCGGAGGAAAAAAAAAATACCTAGCGGGAAAGCGCGGGCGAAAGACCTAGCGAGAAAGAGCTCGGAGGAAAAAAAAAATACCTAGCGGGAAAGCGCGGGCGAAAGACCTAGCGAGAAAGAGCTCGGAAAAAACTACCTAACGAGAAAGAGCGCGGGGGAAAAATACCTAGCGAGAAAGAGCGAGGGGAAGATGTAGCGAGAAGGAGCGAGGGTGAGCCAGACGACTAGGCGGGGACGGGCGAGCGAGGAAGCCAGAGGAAGAAAGCAAACCGATTGAAAAGAGCGGGCAAAAACGAGCTAGGTTCCGGAAAGCGGATGAGAAAGAAGAACGACGGGGAAAGAGCGATTTTGAAAGCAAAGAAAGAGCGAGCAAAAAAGAACACAGGGAAAAGAGCGCGGGCGC